GGGCCCTAGCAATGGCTAAGATATGTTGATGTTTGCGTTCAACTTTACTGTTTTATTGTGGTGTTTCAATGCATGACATTTCATGTAAAATGCCTGTTCTGTCAAAAAACTCAGTCATTTGGAATTCTTTGCCTTGGCCACTTCTAATGGTTTGAACTGATGTAGAAAATTGGGTTGCAATCATGTTACAGAAGTGTTGTAACTTAGGTCTAGCATCAGCTTTTGACTGAAGAAGGATGAGCCATGTCATCCTGGAATGATCATCAACAATGGTGAGGAAATATTTGAAACCATCATAAGTTGGACAGGAATTGGGACCCCAGATATCAACATGTATCAACTGAAAACAATGTGTAGTTACAGTTGTGCTTGAAGGAAAAGGAAGCCGTTTTTGTTTGGCAAAATGACAAACATTACAAGGTAAGCTACTGTTAGTTTCTATATGTTGGTGAATCTGTTTCAGGTATGGTATTCGACTATGGGAAACATGGCCAAGTCTAAAATGCCAAATGTCAAAAGATGGGGAGCTAACAGCAGCTGTGATGTGTTTAGGTGTACTAGCTAAGGGAAGGCTGATGTGGTAAAGGCCATGGAGGAGCTTAGCAGAACCAGTCACTCTCTGCAGCTTCATGTCCTGTATTGAGCAAGAATCAGAAGAAAAAGTTAAGCTGAGGGGACTGGTGGTGGTGAGTTTGCTCACTGATAGGAGATTGAAGGTAAATTTTGGAACGAAGAGGACATCCTCAAGGATTAAATCATCAAGACATATAACTTGGCCCCTGTGAGTTGCTTGAACTCTATCACCAGTAGGCAGATTAATGAAAATGTGATGTACTTGTTCAGGATTAGTAAGGAAGTGAAGAGAATTCACAATATGGTCTGTGGCACCAGTATCTAGGATCCAAGCAATGTTGGTATGGTGATTCTGAGTGAGATTGCATATAGGATTACCTGAAGAGCCAGCAATATAGTGAGTAGTGAGAGCAGCAGAGTGAGAAGACTTGCCCTTGTTGTGATCTGCCATGAGAGACATCAGCTTCTCATAGTCTGATTTGGTGAGTTTGAACTCAGGTTGTGGATCAGGGGAGGAGTTGCTGTCAGCAACATTGATGGATTGTCTCCCACGAGGAGGAGCTTGAGATCTTGGTTGGGAAGGTGGAGGGTAACCATGCTTCTTGAAGCATTTCTCTTCAGTGTGTCCAATCCTTTTGCAGAATGTACATTCTGAGGGTTTGGAAGATGGATTGGAGGTTGGGGTAGTGCCTCTGGAGGTCATTCCTGGTGGCCATCCATGCTTGTGATAGCATGTATCTTCAGTATGTCCAGGAGCATTGCAAAAAGTACAGTGGGGACGTTTTCCAGGGATGTATGGTCTCCTAGATCCTTGAACAGCAAAGGTTGTTGGTTCAGTTGTAATGGTTTTGCCTTGTTGAGTACCAAACAACTGTCTCTCATGCTGTAATGCTCTCTGGAAAACTCTGTCTATGGGAGGTAAAGTGTCTCCAAATAGGACTTGAGACCTCACAGTGGCGAAGTTGTCATTCAGACCACGAAGAAAATGAACAACATTGTTGATAGATTTGTAACCAAGGAGAGTATTCATGGAGACACAGGTGGTGTGACTCGTAGCTGTGCAGCGACAGGGATCTATAGGCTGATAGTTGTCTAATTCATCTTGTAATGCTATGAGATTGCCATAGTCTTCAGTCACAGTTTGGTTACCTTGTTTGATGGTACCAATGGATTCAATGAGCTCAGCAATGCGAATCATATCTCCTTGGCCATAGCGAGATCTCAAACTGTGCCAGGCTTCAGAAGCGAGCTTGCTGGACATGATGGTTTTCTTGATGCCAGGTTCGACAGCTTGTTGGATCCAGCTGAGAACCATGATGTTGTTGCGTGTCCAAGAGGAGAACTGTGGATCTGTTTCTTCAGGGGCAGGGATTGTGCCATTGATGAAGCCAAGCTTGTTCTTGGCGGCCAATGCGTTGAGCATAGCCTTGCTCCGGTCGTTGTAGTTGGTGGTGGTCAGCTTCTCACCTACCAGAAGCAACCCTGTTTGATCAGAACCATGTAGGTAGTAAGGATCCGCCATGGGATCCATGTTTGGGTGAGCTTCCTGAGCAGCCATTGTGAAGGCGGCGGCTAGGGTTGCTCTGATACCATAACACGAAGTGTTGTTGTAGAAACCCTAATTTGGTTTTTCATTGATCATCATTGTGGCTTTTATACAAGGATTGAGCAAAAGAAGACAAGCTCCAGTGAGCTGTTGTCCTTACAGAAAAGCAGAGTTCAGAAACAGAGATTAGAGGGAACAAAAGTCAGAAGAAGGAAAGCGACGTTGGTTCATAACGGCGACGTATTGATGGGGCTCTTCCCTTTGTCTCGAGACGGCGCCGTTCCACTTGATCTGCTTGTAGCCTTGCCAGAAACGATGTCGCTCCAAGTGACCCGCGAGTTGACCGTTGCATTCGAACTGAAAATTTGGGGATTTTCATCTGATATGGAGGCTGGACGTCTCAAGATTTTTTGGAGTCGTTTGTTGTAGTGATTTTGATTTCCCCCTTTCTTTGATCGGATAGGGAGGAGGGCTAGCGTTTTGTTAAGTCGTAGTAGTGTTTTCCAATTTCAGAATTCGAGATTTATGGTGTTACGGTACTAGTGTTTCACAATGAATTGTAATGGTGTGCTCTTTATTTCTGCTTCGTTTGTTTGATTTCGTAGCATTTTTATCTAATAGTGTTTTTTTATTTTTTATGAATGATAATAGTGTTTTGAAAAGTTATTAGTGTTTTGTATTTTAAGTTTATCGTCTTGCTTTTAGCTTTGTTGGTTTTACAACTGAATGGGTATGGAGGCTTTCGTAATCGTGTGTAGCAGTTTGCGCAATTACAATTGATCATAAGAGATGCTTTTATGTTTTTTTTTCCAGCCACAGCCTCGTACGTGGACCGGTAATTTGCAGGCAAGGAAATAAGAAAGTTCTGAGATGTAGCAGCGAACATTAGTAGTAGTGGTTGTCATTTTCTGTGTAGTGTTTTTCTATTCCTATGGTAGTATTTAAGAGATGAGAAAGTTCTTGGGATGTAGCATTGATTTTTTAGTAGGAGAGATTTATCTATTTCTAGTACTGGTTGCCAGTTTTTTGGTAGTGTTTTCAGAGAGTGTAGCAGAATAATAGGTTTCCTTTATAGTAGTAGTAATAAATCAATTTTTACTGGTTTATATGTACAAAGCAGCAAATCAATTTCTTGGTGAAAACGGCTACATTTGTGAAGAAACACTATTATTGGTTGACCTATGATTCTTTGATGATACGCTGCTATCTTGAAAACACTATTACTACGTTAAAAGATCTGAATTCCTATTTAACGCCCTAACTTTTTAAATTTGTCACCCTAAACCCTAATAAAAAATACCCTTTTGCCCCTTGCCCCCGCCCTCCCATTCCGCATCCTCGAACTCCATACGCGGAGCAGAAGAATCCACCACCACCACCGGCAACCACCATCCCTTTCCCCAAACTCCATAGCCGCCGCCGGCAATCAACCAATCCACAATCAACCCGACCAATCAACCAATTCATTTCCATTTCTCTTTGTGTTCGTCTCCATCAAATCCTTTCATGAAACAAAGTTAAAAAAAGAAAGGGGAAAAGGAAGCAGAAGGAGATGTAGAGAGGGAGCTCGCTCCCGCTGGATGCCGCCTGCCATATTTTCTGGGCTAACGACATAGACGGGTTGAATATCCCGTTTGAAATGAGGCTAGTACGGGTGCGAGGGGTGGAAGGAACGCGTGCTATGCCCATGTGTACTGCTCGCCGGACGGGTTGTAATCCCGTCGCCGGCGATGGCGAGACAGGTCGTTGCCCCGTCCCAACCTCGCCGAAGACGGATTTTCAACCCCTCCGACGAATGAACCCAGAATCTGACAGGACAGCAACACTTATCTTCTTCCTTCTTCTGAGGACGATTGGGCGATGGGATTTCTTCATCGTCTTCATCCTTCTTCCTCCTCAAGGTTGGCAGAATCCAATAGTAGCGGCAAAGGTTGAATTGCAGAGGAAAGTGGGGAAGAATTGATCGATTGAAGGAGAAGGGTAAAAGTGTATTTTTAATAGGTTTTAGGGCGATTTTTTTAAAATTCTAGGGCGTCAATGATGTTAAATACTATTTTTTTTTTACTGAGACGTTAAATACTATTCTAACAAAACACTCTAACTACAAAATCCTTTGGTAGTAGCCATATAAGTCAAAGGGGTCATTTGGATGCAGGTTTTGGGTGTGGGATTTGGGCACAATCCTACATAATGTGGGATTTTATTAAAATCACTCGTTTGGAAAGCAATTATATGATAAGAGATTTTAAATATTAGAGATTTCAGAAATCCACAATTGTGGGATTATGAAATAGCCGATGGTGATCAGCTATTTTAAGATCCCACACAAATCCCACAAATTAAAAACGTGGATCCAAATGACCCCAAAGAGAGATAAAGTAAGAGAGAGAAATACAGTGCGGAGGAGAGAGAGGAACCGGGAACATATTCTAATTTTTCCTTTCTAAAAATTAGCATTAAAATTGGAAATCTTAACTGCCCCAATCCCTTAAAATCCGCCCACTAACACAAACGGATTTAATAAATAAAAAAACAGAAATTAATAGTTAATACTTAATACATACTATCCCTAATTTATCCTTAGTATTTTCGTAGCCATTAGATTGTAATTAGAGTTGGACGGTGATGATTAAGATTAGCACGGTGCTAACCCCTATGAGGTTAGCACCCTAGCTTCTCCCCAATTATGTGGGTCGTCGTACCACGGTTATTAACGCGGATGGTTCATCGACTAACAATTCTTAAATGAATATAAAGGAGCATATTAAACTCACGTGAAGCCATAGAATATCCAATGCCAACAAACACGAAGAAGAAGGTAGAAATGAATTCGGCGAGATAAGATCTTTTTTTTTTTTTACTGAAACCTGAGGGAATATTATTAATCAAGTGAGGTCGTTACATTAACCTGCAACAGTTGATCCAAAAGAAAATTTGGTGGCCTGTCCACCCAAACTACACGTTCATTCCACCCTGTGTATGCATGAGCCATGACGTGCGCCGCTTCATTTGCTTCTCGACAAATATGTTTCCACTCCCCCCGCCCTGTCTCCTCCAGCAATCGTCGGATGCTGCGTCCAAGAACACCAAGTTCATCCTGCTGCCGCGCTGGGTTATGTAGCTTCTGTATCAGCGTCAAGCAATCCGATTCCAATACCATATCAGTGAAGTGGAGTTGAGCCGCCATTTGGACCCCGAATTCAGCTGCCATAGCCTCAGCTAATTCCGGCCTCCATTCCCCAGGCACTCTCTTCGCCGCTGCAAACAAAAAACTTCCATCTCCATCCCTGGCCACCACCCCGAGCCCAATGCCACCCGAATCAAAAACACCCGCATCGGTACAAATGGAGACCTTGCCCCTATCTGGTTTCCTCCACTTCTGGATTCGCGGCGGGGAAGCCACCTCCTCTTCTCTTTGCTGGCGTTGCTTATACTCGACGTGCATGTTGCTGGCGCGGATTGGGATCTCCTCCTCGGGCAATTTGGCACCATTAAACAAATGGGCGTTGCGCTCCTTCCAGAGATACCATAACAAAACACACCATCCCTCCACCATCTCCTCCTCCCCAGTTTCCAACACCTTCAAAACCCACTCCATCCAAGATTCAGAGCCTCGGAGCTCAAACAAAGCTTTCATTTCCGTTCTTCTCCAGATTCGCGAGGTCCAGCCACATTCAATAAAGAGATGCTGCTGGGTTTCAATCGCACCGCAGAAGGGGCACTGATCCCCAATCCGTGGGTTTCGATGATTAACGAAAGCCCCCGTCGGCAAAATCTCCCTAGTAAATTTCCACATAAACTGTCGTACCTTTGGCGGGACTTCTATAGCCCACAACTTCTTCCATAACCTTTCCTCTCCAACTTCCACAAGCCCATTTCTACTCATGAAACCATGTAACCATTGCTGATACCCTGCCTTTACCGAATAGTCCCCTGTTTTACTTTTATGCCATATAATGGTGTCCACCTCCCCATTCCCACGGATCGGGATCTGTAGGATGGCTTGCGCGGTCGTTTCGGAGAAACAGCTCTCCACCAAATTTGCATCCCATGTCTCAGTTTCGGGATCAATTAACTCCCTAACATTTGCATCAACAGGAAGTCCCATTGGCGGCGAGTCAACATAATGATGATCAGCCCCGGGGATCCATTTATCACCCCATATCCTTATATCCACCCCGTTCCCTACTCTCCACCGCAGCCCGCTGTTCAGAAGCTCCAAGGCTCCCATTAAACTGCGCCAGACGTAGCTGGGATTGTAACCCACCTTGGCATCGAGAATAGAGGAATGTTTATGGTACTTTGCTCTGAAAATCCTCGCAATCAGCGAATGGGGCCTCTTCAATAAATTCCACAACTGTTTCGCCAGGAGGGCTTCATTAAACCCTTTGAGATCCCGGAACCCCATCCCACCAGACTTCTTCGGGATAACCATCTCTTCCCTTCGGATACCATGCGTCCGCCTTTCAGTCCCCTTCTGTCCCCACCAGAAATTCATAATCATACTATGTACTTCATCAATCACTCCCTCCGGAATGCTGAAGACCGACATTGCGTAGGTGAGCTGAGCCTGTGCAACAGATTTTATCAGGACCTCCCTCGCCGCAACAGACAGAGTACGCTCTTTCCACCCATTTAGCTTCTTCCTCGTTCTCTCTTTTAACTCCTCAAACAACACTTTCTTCGATCGTCCAGCCTCAGTTGCTAAGCCCAAATACTTATTGTGCTTTTCAACTTTGGTCATGCAGAGAACACCAGCAACTTCAAGGCTCTTATGCATTGACACATTTGGACTGAACGATACCTCCGACTTCTCGAAACTCACCATCTGTCCTGACTCCTTTTCATAGTCCTGCAAAATGGATCTCAACACCATGCTTTCTTGAACAGTAGCTCTGGCAAAGAAGATGCTGTCGTCCGCGAAGAAAAGGTGAGAGATGACTGGCGACCCTTGAGCTGGTTGGATGCCATGTAACCTCTTTTCCCTAACCGCCAACGCCGTGGATGCAGATAGTCCTTCCGCACACAACAGAAATAAGTAGGGAGACAACGGGTCTCCTTGACGAAGCCCTCGGCTGGGGATGAACACCGGCGACTGATGGCCATTACAAGCACCGAGTAAGTGACTGAGCTCACACACAACATTATCGTATTAACCCATGCCTCAGCAAATCCCAATTTCCTCATTACTCCTGCCAAGAAACGCCACTCTACCCTGTCATAGGCCTTCGCCATATCGATTTTAGCCGCAAAATAACCAGGACCATTCTTGTTCTTCTTCTTCTTCATTGTATGGAAGCATTCAAAAGCTGCCATGACATTATCTGAGATAAAACGACCCGGAACAAAAGCACTCTGCTCCGCTGAAATAACCTTGTCCATTACCTGCTTCAGTCGATTTGCGAGAACCTTAGCCACCAGTTTATACACCACATTACAGAGACTGATTGGTCTAAATTCCTTCGGCTTAATCGGGGATTTGATTTTCGGGATTAAAGCGATTAATGTGTGATTCAGCTGATGCGGCATCACCCCCTGCTCAATAACCCCCTTCACCGTCGCAATAACCTCTTCTCCAACGATCTCCCAGTACTTCCGAAAGAACATCACCGACAGACCATCGCATCCCGGGGCTTTGCGTTGACCCATCTGCTTTAGGGCCGCTACCACCTCCTCCCCCTCAACATCCTTTAGTAGCGCTTCATTGTCCTCGTTTGTTACCCTACACTGGATGGCGTCCAGGACTGGAGAAGAGGATGGGGCTTCTCCCGCCATAAACAGATCCGAATAGTACTGATTTAGGCAGGCGAATAGTTGCTCCGTACCACTAAACCATCTCCCCGACTCATCACATAGCTTCCGAATCGTGTTTCTTTTCCTCTGGGCCGAGGCCTTCTTATGGAAAAAGTTTGTGTTTTTATCCCCCCCACGAAGCCAATCAGCCCGAGACCTCTGCTGCCAATAACTCTCCTCATCATTCTCAACATCAGCGAGCTCCTCTTCCAGTTTCCATTTTTGTTCCAGTACCCTTTGCGTCGGCTGCATCTTTTCCAGCTTGCGCAATGCCCGTCTTATACGAGTCTTCTGGCGCTTGAAGTTTGGAAAAGTTTATGTGCTCCACTCTTCCAGTTTCCCGCGGCAAGAATTTATTCGGTCCATAATCCCTACTCCACCTTGCTCCAGCCACGCCTCCTCTACTACCTTCTAACAATCGCTGTGATTCGCCCAGAAAGGGTCGAACCTGAAGCTCCACCCCCATACTGGTTCATCATCTTCCTCCCCCATAGTGTCGCACACAATGGGTCTATGGTCCGATCGAGCTTTATCAAGGGTTTTGATTCTAGCACGGTCAAATTTTTCCTTCCAAAGCTCCGTTCCCACATACCTGTCTAGTCGTTCCTCAATATACAACTCATTTTTCCTTCTATTCTCCCATGTAAACTTATGGCCTTGACACCCCAGGTCCATCAAAACCCGTGTCCGTTAGACAATCATTAAATAGCACCATGTCTGCCTCCGATGGAACAGCACCTCCCCTCTTCTCATCAGCCGTTAAAATCTCGTTAAAATCCCCACCACAAAGCCACGGTCCTTGCCATTGTTCAGCTAATTCTCGGATCAGTGCCCAGGTGTTGACCTTGCCGCTAGACCCCGACCAGCCATATATACCCGTGAAACGCCACATTTCATCATTACTTTCTAGAATCTTCATGTCCATATAATGCAGCGAAGAGTTTACCAACGACATATTTACCTCCTCCTTCCACCATACACTAAGACCCCCAGCTCGTCCGCCGCCAGAAGTATCCGTTGGAACACAGTGACCATCCCGATATCCCATCTCCTGTTGTAGCTCTTCATTTTCCAATTTTTTCTGCTTCGTCTCCATTAAGAATACGACTTGCGGGGAGTTTTGTCGCAATAACGACTTCAGTGCCTTAACTGCTCGCTTACTCCCCAGACCGCGGCAGTTATAGCTGATGATCCTCATCTATGACCCGGAGGGGATAGGCTCCCCGCGCCTTTGAATTTGTGCCCAGCATTATCACTTCGTTGGTTATTATTATGTATGGGTTTCCCGATCGCTTGCCCAATCCTCATAACTGCTTCTCTGTTCACGAATTCCACCGGAAGCTCGGGTAGTTGGACCCAAACTATGGTGGATTTTACTACTGAAGTCCAGGGGTTGAAACCCTTATACCAACGGTGAACAGTGAGATAGGTCTCTCCCAACAGCCACAGTCCCCCCGACGATGCCAATTCATAATCCAGCTTATGCTTGAACCTCACCAAAAAACATCCGTTCTTGATATCAGTGATTTGGATCGTACCATGCCTAGCCCATAGGTAATTAAGTAGTCGAGATAGAGCTAGATAGTGGACTCGTTTCCCCAGACCTTTCACTACCAATGCAGATCTCCATTCCCGCCTCCATCGTATCTTCTCCGCCGCTGAAAACAGTATCGAGGGGCATTTAGGATCGCAATCCTCCTCAACTATATAGTCATCCTCTTCTCCCTCTCTTGCCGTCACATCCTCCGTATCCGAGTCCTCTACGTACCAGCCCTCCTCTCCCTGCATCCCGTTAAACAACTTATTTGCACCATTATGCCAAAAAGCTTCCTTCGGACCCCCCATTGTCTCCCTTTGGGTCTCCCCTTCAGCGGCCACAGTGTCCATCTCAATTGGGTCGTCATTGATCGTTTTCTGTTCTGGCTCCAGGTTCATGGCCCGTACACGTTTCTTCAGCTGAACAGACTCCTTCTCGCTCTTACCATCCGGAGAGGAGGAGGCTGTGGACGGCCGGCGACTCCCGCTAATATCCGGCGGCTTTTCTGTCGGGGCCGGAATGCCTTTGGACGGCGACGCCGTCATGACGAGCGGAAAAACACTTTAGGGTTTCGTTTGTCGCCTCCGGAAAAGTCGGAGCACGCGTTTTTGTTCTTCTCAAAGAAAGCCCTTACCAAAGTAGGGAAGAAAAATGGTATGGATAATTTTGAATTTATATGAAAAATAGAGAATAACGCACTCAAATTGCCTTTTTTTAATCAAATATAACATTTGAATTTATTTATTTTTTTACGGGTAACCTGTAGCATTTGAAAGTTGAAACCCAAATTTTATGAGAATTGTGCCTATTTTGGGAATTGATAAAGGTCGTCCTTAAAATTACTATTGAACGTCCTAAAAAATAACAAAGTTACACTTTTAGCCCTTTGGCATCTTTAGCAAACAAACATCACTTTGACTATAAAAAATATGAAAAACACTCAATTTCCCACACTCTCGAATTCATCGTTGACATTCTCGAGTCGTAATCGTTGGGAATACGTCCGAATCAAGAGTAGCAACTCCGACGAGGTAAAAATCTGAATTTTTTTTTTCAAAAAAACCCAAAACCCTTCAACTGAAGCCAATTTTCGGTTGCACCATGGCTCAACCTAA